CCCAGGTGCCAAAAAGCACAGAAAACTGTTCATTTGAACTGTGCCTCCTTTTCTGGGTGTGGGGTTAGGGGATCTTGTCTCTGGGGTCTGTCCAGAGATGAGAAAAAATGCTTATCCAGAAGTGAAAAATCATGGGAAGCTGCTTGTTACTGGGTGGGGGAGGAGGGGAGATGCTGGGGGGAGGTGGAGGGAGAAAGAGGATGAGGTGGAAAATACAGCCAATCCCAGCCCTAGCTGGTAAAAGTGGCATGCTGCTGACCATGCTGGTCTTAATTCCTGGCTTTTAGCAGCTACTTAGTTGGAGAGAGTGTTAATTAACTGGCTTGCCTCCTGGCTGGGTGTCTCTTTGCAAAGAGTTTCCCTACTTGCAAATTAGACACAAAAAATGGTGAGGCTTATTTCAACATGAGTCCAACCTGAAAATATTTTCTGACCCACATCTGAACTGCAAAATATGAATTAGTTCACATTCCAGCCTAAACCCGATCCACTTTGTGGGTTGCCTGAAGACACCCTTGAGTATCTTACCCTGGTGTAGGGGGAGAGAGAGAATATATATCTCCATAATGCATAAAGTCCCTAGTCAAGACAGGGATCTGTTCTGTACAAATATATGTGAAAATGTTGTCCCTATCCATCAGTGTTGACAGCCTGTGTTGTAAAAAATGTATTACAATGCACATCTGAAGTTTTTAAACTCCCTCTTCTTTGTTTTCCGCCCACGTGTTATTCTCCTGTATCCTTTCCAATCCACCTACATATTCCTCTTTGTACTCCATTTAATCCTTCTGTTGCTCAATCCATCTCTCCAGAACACTCTCTTTATTCCTGGCCATAAAGCTCCACTGATGAGTTATAGGGAAAAACCTCTGCTGGTCTTGCTCTCATGAACTATGGGTTGTCTTTGTCCTTCCATCCGCCTTGATGGGTCCTGAAAACCCTTGTATTTGAAGAGTGTAAATGGCAGAATAGATCTTTCCAGATTTATTGTAACCTATATAGATTTGTGCAAGTACAAGGTCAGAAGCAATAATGGAGTCAGAGTGAGAAAGCTAGAGAAATCATATCTTTGCTACCTTGCAGGGGTGTTAAGAAACATCATTATCTAATGTTTGTGAGATGCTTTGAAATCACTGGATGAAAGCTACCAGAAAAATGTCAAATCTTATTGAAATCTTTGACAATTTTGGCTCAAAGTGTGGATCCTTGTGCTTTCCAGGCCAAGTCTCCAGTGATTTATGAACCATGGGTTGCACTGGTGAGCACTGGAAGGCTCTGTCAGCAGGGAACAACATGCAGTATACAAAAGTGAGAATTGTCCATTGTTTTTAAATATTCTTACATAAACTGGGCCACATCCCATGCTTCGGTGGGTCTGTTACATTCTTAAATATATCTAAAGTTGTATCTTCACTGAATGTAATGCTGTTAAGCATTCCATGGGATGTCAACTTTCTGAATTAGTTGTTAACATCCACCTTTTTCCAGATATCAGAATGAAAAAAAAGCTACTTAACATCAGGAGCTATTTACATGGTATCAGTGCCATCATTCAGATTTGTTTTCAATGACAATAAATGTAAAGAAAAAATTATGAAAACGTGCTTTGATGTTGACATGGAGAAAGTGGCTTCCATCTTACCTGTTTCCATTTCAGACCTGCTGCACAAATAAAAGTAATGTCATTTTTTGTGTGTGTGAATGTATAATCCTGTTTATTTTTGACCTTTATACGCAGTGGTCTACGTGAATATTTCTTCACTCTTGTTTCTTGGGGAAAGTGGCACATACATTTGGAATCGTCTTGCGCTGTGGAAGTACCAGTTATTTATACTCTGATTACTTACAGGTGAATCAGAAGCAAAGAAGGTACCAGCTTCCAATCTGTCAGATGAAACTGAGTCACCTTCTTTTAAGGGGAAGGGTTGTTGCTGATATAGTATGTGTAAAGCATTCTAATGGAAAAACTAAATTAATCCTCCAACAATAATGTACTATTTCACAATTACCAAGTAGTTACAAATGAAGCAGTCAAGGGATTAAAGTATTATTCATTTCAGCAGCTTAAGGATACAAAAAGCTACCTCATCCCTCAAGGTAACTCTAATCAATGATTAACTTAAAGACTACAGATACTAGAAAATGAGTCCAAAGCTTCATTTCGGGGTGGAGGGGGGCAGGATTTTTATATTATGTTATATATTTATTGCACAAAAAAAAGAAAAAATCTAAGAAAAGTTCATGTTACACTGTTCAGCACTCAAAAGTCATGAAATGCCAAAGTGCAGATTGTACAAACTCTACTCTTTTTGTGTGAATAAGGATGCAATCTTTTAAATGCATGATTACCTACAGGGCCCAATGCTGTCATGACACTATTGTCAGTCCAAATTAACTCTACTGAAGCCTCATTGATTCATAGCTTCTGAGGCCAGAAGGGATAATTATCATAATCTGATCTGCCTTTTTCATAAAGCAGGTCACCAAACATCACAGAGTAATTTTTGCATCAAGCCCATGGCATCTGTTTAAGTTGCAGGACATCCAGACTTAATTTAAGGACTGCTGGTAATGGACAAACCACAATGCTATTAGTGGAGTTGTCCCAATACTTAATTACCCTCCATGGCTATGGACATGTGTGCATTTCTCAGGCTAGAATTAAATCCATTCAAGGCCTCTGGCTGGATGGCAACACAGGTGAGCATTCGAGCACAAAAGGCTGCTCGTTGGTCACTCCTGTCCTTAGAGAGCCCAAATGATTGACAGCTGGCCCTCTACTCTGTCAGAGAAGCATGCAAGCTGTCAATAAGCAGCTGGCAGCTGCTGAGAAGGGGGAGGAGTACTACTCTCCTCATTGGGTTGTGTGGCCTGGAGGGGTATTTGGAGCAAGGGGCAGTATTCTGGGGCTGGAAATTTCTGGGGGTTCTGGGAGGGCTCCAGCTCCATGTGCATCTGGCTCCCACTGTGAGAGAGTGTCCCCCAGTCCCTGCACCTCTCCAAGTCACCCAGGAAGCATGCAGGATACAGAGGATGAGGCAGAACAACTGGACCTATCCTACAATGCAATGGTTTCAGCTGTAGAAAATGCCCCTGCCCATGCAAAGATGGGTACCCCAGTCTCAACAGGGTTAGGACGTAGGTGCCTGGTGCTTGCAACTTCATGGGA